GATAGTCCAAGTTTAGATGAACTAAAACCATTAATTTTCGATACTAGCAACACAACAGTCCGCGAAGCTCTCAAATGTAGTGGTAAGTCAGACATAAGCTGGACAAATCGAATCTATCGAATGTTAGAACGTGGAGATGTTTTTTAAATAAAGATACAACTTTGTAGAACTTGAAATTCTACAACTTTTAGCATTACGAATAGGAAGTGAGAGAAAAAAATGCATTAACGTTTAATGCAATTTATTATGGCTCTCCTGTTATATTATTTTCTTATATTTTAGACAAACAGATGGAGAACAAGAGAATTTAATAAAACAATTAACAAATGAAACAATTGAAACTGCCATAAAAATAAAACAATTATCCGAAACAACAGTATGATGAAGCTAATCAACAACAACAATTAGAACTAGAAATGTATCTTGCGGAATCAGTTGTTGATGATCTGGAATCATCCATTGGATAAAAATATAATGGTTTATAGATTTTCCGCCGTTGTAACGTTCTAACCGAGTTGGATGATAAAAGTGCATTGATTATTTGAATAAAAGAAGTAAAAAATGAATTATCGTTTATAACGGATAATACCAGCCGCAACTGGAACGAACTAAAGATTTCGAGTAATAGATAGTGCAGGTTGTGCATATGTCTTCGGTAATTCGAGTCAATGACACGCTCTGCATTCGTAAAAAATTTTCTTTCCGAAAACAGCAGTTAAGTTTATTACCAAACTTAACGCTTTAGCATAAAACTTAATAAATAGAAAACGTAAACTGATTACCATCATCCATAAGCAAAGAGCAGAATGTCGATGCTACCAATGCTCTTAATTCTAAGAAGAAATTTTAATATTATAAGGCATAATTAAAATATTGCTTCAAGATATTATTTGCTTGTTGAATAATCGTACCATGAATATTATGAAATATGAGAAACACGCATCAAGTTTTATCAAACATGATCCAACATTTGGACTCCATGTTGTAGTTAGTGGTCGTCTTGTTGTTTGTAGCTGATGATAAAGAGTAAACATATATCTCACTGCTTTCTCAACTGTAGCATCACTATTGCAATTATCTTTATTGCATTCAATTTTTCTAATATAGGTATAATCATCCGGATTTGATGTTTCATCTGTGCTGTAAAACCAGTAAACTTCATTTATTTGTTTAATGCAATCTCGGGTGATCGAAAATTGAGGATAATTTCTTGTCACTGATCTACATACTTCATCTGATCGACATGTCGTAGATATGTCTGACTTACCACTACATTTGAGAGCTTCGCGGACTGTTGTGTTGCTAGTATCGAAAAGTAATGGTTTTAGTTCATCTAAACTTGGACGATCTGTGACAAATTCAGAGTAATACTGCTGAATATATTCCATTGCACAATCATTTATCGTATTACATTTATAAATAACAATTAATTCTTTTGAAGTTGGTGTCATATTAAACTGACGTTCATATCCCCTAGAACAATCAAATACCATACGGACTAGAGAAAGTACTATTATATGAGCAAGGAGAACGAAAGTACCATCACATCACTCAAAGCATCACATCAACATTTTCAACTTGATTTTGGATTAAATTTCAAAATTTTTAAATTACACAGTTTTTAGGTATTTTTCCCTCTACATTGTTCCAAGGTTTTGATCCAGTATTCGCATTTGGCCTCTCAATTGACACAAACATCACCTTGGATGTTGTACGAGATGTGTTAATTCATTGAAATGTTAACAAGGCAGAAACAACCATACTTTTCTAATGTATACCGCTTAAAGCTGGTCCAAAATCCTTTCTGAAGCTTTGAATCCTTTAAGGAAAATATATCCGATACTGGATACTAAATGATTTAGCATTTAGCATCGGATATTATCCTACTCTGTAAGAGTCTAGGGTTAAAAAGTTATTGAAATTGAGTTTACAAACCATTTTTAAAAACCTATATCCTCAGGGCTTTCAAAGTACGTTCTAAGAAGACCCCTCTTCTATACTTTTGATATTTATGACACTGTATCAGACTTATCCTATGGGAAGTTCGGCAAAGTCGGATCAGTTCCAAAGATCCACTGAAAAGCCCGCTTCTGAAGTTTTTCTGATATTCGCTTTTGCTTACAGAAATATGTGATCAAATGTCTAGTTTTCGAAACTGAAAATCGCAGGCCTCTGACTTATTTCTGTAAAAAGTTATTTGAAAAATATTCGAGACCATTGTATTTTGAAACGCATAGTAGTACTACAATTCTGCTAATGCTGTACAATAGGGAAAAAACTTTTACTAAGCGAATTATAAGTTGACTAGTTTTCGCTTCGTGCTAGTAGTGATGGACTTATCGCAAAAGAATCATATACTTTCAAGAGCTCATCCACCCGTCATTCTGTAAAAAATGACGAGAGAAATCGAATTTATATATTGGTGTTGAGCTTAGAGCAAATTTCAGAAAAATCTATTTTATTATTAAGCCAATCAGTTGACCAGCTAAATGGAAAATTCATAGATTGTGAGCCGTCGCAAACCACAATACTAAGAGATTTTTAAACCTTTGCATGTGTAAGAGATTTCCCATGTAACTGCCCTTCGAGAAATTCCGCCTGGTTTCTAAGCCACGTTTAACGTTTTGATATTACACAAAAGAAAACTTCACAGATTTTGACCCTATCTTTCTGTACATAGAAGTCTGGTCTTGATACCGTAAATCTTTCAAAATTAAAATTCTTTCTTTAAAAAACAAAATCTATGGAAGACAAATTTTCTTATAAAAGGTTTTCGTAACACATTCTTTTTCTCCCTTTCAAAGATGTTATACCCATATGATTCCTTTTTCAAATCAAGCAACAAACAAAGATCTCTTTATCAGAAGTTTTATTAAGAAACTCTTTTACACTTACAACCTCTATATGGTCAATTTTCGAAAATGTTTCATAAATGATTTCATAAGTTATCAGTCGTTAAATATGTGTCGGACTAGCTTAGTCGGCGCAACCGTCGTACTCCGCACCTTGAGTGCATTCGTTCGTGAGTTTAACTCTAGTTAGGCTATTTTTCTTCTCATATTCAAGCTAGCTTAGAGGCAAGTTAGAGGTCCTACATTTCAGACCTACAGAATTCTAGATTACTACTGATTTATTCTGTTCAATAAAGCTACACACTAATCTAAAATTGCAGCTAGATAATTAAGTAGATTGAACATTTCTCTATAAAAGGAACCAAGTATCTGGGCTCTGAACGTTGATTCATTACGAAAATACAGCTGTTATAGAAATTGTTCAAAAGATCGATTTGGGGGCTATGTGAAAAACGTCTTTAAAAGAGCGAAGACAAGCTGGCCAAAATTGAACAAGCATACCAGTTTGTAGAAAATTATTTATTGTATAAGGTGTAGTAGCTCTTCAAGCTTGAAACTATTCTAGTTAATCTGTAATAATCACGCTGTGCATAGCATTACCGTTTTTCTGGTATTTCTTTAATTAATACAGATTAATTAGATTAGTTTCGAACTTGAAAAGCTACCGCCTCTTGTAGAATAAACAATTTTCTACAAACTGGTATACTTGTTCAATTTTGGCCAGCTTGTCTTCGCTCTTTTAAAGACGTTTTTCACATAGTCCCCAAATCGATCTTTTGAGCTATTCGTACAACAGCTGTATTTTCATAATGAATCAACGTTCAGAGCCCAGATACTTGGTTCCTTTTATAGAGAAATGTTCAATCTGCTTAATTATCAGCTGCAATTTTTTAGCTTGGTTTGTAGCTTTATTGCAATAATGTTCTGAAAAAGAGCGAAAAAAGGGGACCGTTAGCCGAACAAGCCGTATAGAGTTCTGCACAGTTCTAGTCACGTAAATTCTACAGAAGTCTACGTGACTACCAACTTATTCTGTTTTATCCGACCAGGAGTCAAGGTGAAGTATGATTTAGTGGCTCACTTTCATGCTCTCCATAAACCCGACCTCCATACTTGTAGACTTTTGTCCATTTCAGCTTGTATCTCAGTGGGTGAATATAGCCTAAAGTAGTGGTGGTATAGGATTCTATACATTCCCTAAAATTCTATAGGTTTGTTAAAATTACTTTACATGAAAAACGGCTGACTGTCAACTAGCATGATTAAAGTAGAAGTCAAAAGTAGGCAAAATTAAGAAGCATCAAATTGTAAAGCACACTTTTCTGCACAGGACAGTGTCTTTTGTTCTAGTTGTCCACGCTTATTAAACAAAAAAACATGGACAAAACAAAATCGTGAACCACTACTAATATTTGATGACTGATCATGCTACAAGTGATGATCATCAAGTATCTTATATAATTTTGGGGTCAGAATCTGGACTTTTTTTATCATCTATTGACAGGCCGTTTTGTAACCAAAAGCAATACAGATTCTGGAAGTAGACACTTCGGGCTATCTTTCCATGTGCGTATCTCAAAACCGATTTTTTGACCGAAAATCACCATTTCTGAGGGGGGGGGCCCTTAACTTAGCTAATCTTATCCTTTTTCGAGTTTCAAAGTAGTATATGTTTCCACTTTTTAAACGTTGCTAAGCAAAGAAAAGGATTGCATCTCGTTCAATGAACGTGAAATTTTGTCGCGAGAAAGCGGAAGTATAGTCGCTGAAAGCGGCTGAGTATTGAACCAAGTAGATGACATTTTTCTGTGAATATTCGAAAAATCGAATTCTCATTCAATGAATTTGAAATTTATCCTATGACACATTTTGTTCCATTCTAAAAAGCCACTGCCTTCAGTTACATGCTCTCCTCAACAGATGCTCAGTACGATAAAATTGTCGTCACGAAACTAGATTCAAGAACATGAGAAAAACAACTCGCTTTCCACGGCAGTTTTTTAGAAAATTTGGTTAGAGAAAAACCGTCTGGGGCAACCTTTTACATCTGTGGGGAATAATGTCTGAGGCTTGCTGGGCTGCCGATTTTTGAATTAGGCTTTTCTTTTCTAGAAAATCAAGAATCTCTGATTACTTCCTCGTACATTGCTCCTCTACAAATAACAAAGGTGAGATCGAGAGATCCGCAACAGATCCTATCTTTAACAACACAGCAACCATTCAAATAGGTCAATAATTAAAACGAGTTAGAGCTACGAGTCCAAGTACTATAAACTTTAATATAACAGCAGCTGTCATAATTGTATTAACTAGTTTTATTATTTAATTAAATTATTTTATCCGACGTTTCGGTCACCTCATGGGACCATTATCAAGGAAAAATAAATGTACAATAAAAAGTTAGTAACTTCCACTATATACGAGTGAGTCGTATATTAATTGTACAATTGGTTGTTTAGTACCGTTTCTGCCATAAATCCGTAGTGGTTTGTCGGATTCCTAAAACTTTTTTTATCTTACTCATCTCATCACCTGTCACCACCGATAAAATTTTGAGCATTCTATGTTTTCAGGTGAGTGAGATACACGCATGAAAAAGCAGAAAAACGCGTTTTTATCTTGACTAGCATGACTCAAAACGCGATTTTCACATCACAGACAAATGATAAAGAAAAGGCAGATCAGTGGATCGTGTAGAGCGCAAAATTCTCTATCCATCCATATTATTTACGATTTCGCTTCAGCACTTTAGTACAGATGTTTTTGGAGAATTAAGTTTTCCGTACAAATTGTAGGGACCAAAATCGGTCTGACGGATTTAGGCAGCACTTAAGCGTAAAATTGATCCCACCATGAGATAGAGCATCAAAAACACTCCGGAAAACACACAAAAGTATTTTACTAAACGCCTATTAAGTGGTCCAAAAATGACTAAGTTTAGGTTTTTCACTCAGTTTCAAACTTTCAGAACCAGAAGCAGGTAGGAAGTTGTATGAGCGGTAAAAATTTCAGCACTTAAAGTTGATGTCTTCCTAGTAAACTTCGCGTTATCCCGCAAAATGTAGGGAGACTTTTTTGTAGGGAGAGATTCGTTTCGAACTTTTTTCCTATTCATAGCTGTGCAGAACTGAGAAAAGTAAACTTTAATGGGTTTTCGAACACGCTCTTTCTAGTAGAGCAAACAGAAATACATAAAACAAAAGCTTTGGAAGTATTCACCAATAAGCCGAAAAAATCGCAAAGATTCTCTGAAAGCGTTTTTGACAAGAATAATTTCAACAGGTGCGCCACCTGCAGGTAATTTTTCCCGCTCAATTGTTCCTAAGCTAGTAGATAATGCTGCCTAGAGATATCCTGCGTAAATCGTAGGTCTCTATCTTGTTTCTATTTGAAGTTATTTTGAAAATATCACGGGTCACCGTTAACTTAATACAGTAGGAACTCGTTTTTGTTCCAACATGCCCAGTGTGGAACCCTTTTTTTAAATATACTTCAAGCTAGAGATCTCGGGTTGGTTTTATTTTAAACTAGACACCTAACTGCGTGAGGTGCTGGGATCCGATTTTTGAATTAGGCTTTTCTTTTCTAGAAAATCAGGAATCTCTGGAAAACCCGTAAACATTTTTCGGGTTTTTGAGAAT